TGCCCCAAAACAATTACAGTAGCCCCATTGAAGATCACAGATCCGCATCATCAACAATGAAAAGGTTTGAAGTACTGCAGGAACTAGCAAAATGTGGCACAGACACAAAGTGAACGAATGCTGCTGGGAAAATAGTGCCTGTGGACTTCATTGACGGGGGGTTACCCAACCCTCAGTGTTAAAAAAACCAAAAAACAAAATCTGCAACGTGCAAGAAAGCAAGGCGGGCCTGTCCTGACACCTGCGACAGCGCGGGTGGAACTTGGGAAGATGCGCTGAGTGAAAGCAGCCCGACCCGGGAGGACGCGCTGCAGGACTGCGCTCGCGCGGACCCTCCGGCGCAGGCCGCCTGCTGAGCCGGGAACAGACGGTGTGGCTGCGGCCGGGGCTTGGGGGAGGGGGTGGGTCCAGGGTGGAGGCGGTGAACACCTGAAGTTGATTGTGATGGTTGCCCAACCTTGAATAGCCTACAAACCATTGAATTACACACTTTACATGCGTGAGTTGTGGGCTCTGAATTTCATCTCACTGAGGTTATTCTAACCCAGTGCAAACCAATTAAGAATAGACAGGATCCAGGAGAGAGAGGAGCGTGTGGACGAGTGGGAAAACCCGGATGGCGGGCCAGGGTGGACGGGCCCGTGTGGCTGTGGTTGTAAGGACACGGCGGGACGGGTCAGCACGGCGGGGGCGGGGCAGCCCCGGTAGAAGAGTCACCCGTAAAACCCAGGACCCTGGGCAGGTAAGGGGGGAAGTGAGGACGTGGAGGTGTTGGGGCGACGCTGGTGGGGCTGGAGGCAGCCCCGGGGAGGGGTCGGAGAGTGGGGTGCTTCAGGGTGAGCCCGTGGAGGCAATGGAGGTGTCTGTAGTGAGGGCTGGGCGGTGGCGGAGGGCAAGGCCCCTGGCCGCAGGCGGGCCGCCTGCTTCCCGGCTCAGGTGCTCCTGCCGCCCGCCCGCCCGCCCGCCGCCCTCGCCCTGTCAGGGAGCCCAGCCCTGCGTTTCTTTAAAAGACCCCGTTTACATTCGCACCCTCTAGGAGGGGGCCTGATGGGCTCGTGCGGCAGGTCCCTCCCGCAGTATTCCCCGCAGACCTGCAGCAGCTGCCGCCTGACCACACGCTCCCCCTTCTTCCTGTCCCCCAGGCGTCCCCATCTGGCTCCCGGCAACTGTGTATCAGCCTCCGCCCCACACGCCTGCGGCTCAGCTCGTGTAGCTCGGAGCACCTTCATTGTAGATGGCCGTGGTGCCTCTCTCTTCCTCTTGGTTTTCAGTTGTGAAACAGCCATTTTCTGGCTCATCATAGGGAGTATTCAGTTAAGTCTTGGGTTATTTTGAGTTAAACTCCAATGTATTTCTTGAACTGATTGAATTTTAAAGTTTGGGAAGAAATTTTGGGATGTCGCCTTCGTGGTCCATCTTAAAATCTTGCCGTGTTAACACATTTTGTATTCTCTATCGAATGTATTTCCTCAGGTCTGAACTCTGCCCTTTTTTTTCACCTACATTCTGGATGATAGGGCACACACACGGTGATCAGTTCCTTTAGCCCATTTCCTCCAGATGTAACCCAGACCCTCTGACCCTCAGTATCTCCGTTGAAATTTGTTCTGTCTCGAGAGAGGGGGGCTTCTCTTCTGAAGCCCTGCGCCGTGGCGGCGCTGCCTCTCTCTCTCTCTCTCTCTCTCTCTCTCTCTCTCTCTCTCTCTCTCTCTCGTGCGAGGTGGGGCCCCGCGAGGCTGCGCCTCCAGTCCTGCCTGCCCCACCTGCCCCACCCGCCCCACCCGTCCAGTGTCTTCCATCTCGTCCTCGCTGTTCCCTGTTCTGTTGGAACTGGGGCCTGCCTGCTTCCCCCTGCCATGCTCCTGTGTACGGCTTGCTAGAAGGATGTTTCAGAAACAAGCATAGGGTTCTCCCCGTTAAAAGGGCCTCCGAGTTCCTTCTCATGCGTGCGTGTAAGACTCCCGAGTTGCCCTGGTCCACCTGTTCAGCCTCATCAACCTCGTCTTTTTTAAAATGGGTAGTAATTTGCATTCATATGTTCTTGCTGCTTCAGTAATTTGTCTCGTGTAGTTTCTGGTCTCTGTTTTCATCAGGACGCTGTTGAGTTCTCAGAACATGTTCAGCCGCTTCACCTCTCCAAGCCTTTCCAGAAGCTGCTGCTCTTGACCAGGCAGTCAGTGTCTGCCTCCGTTGGCCTTGTGTGTGTCCGGCCTGTAAGGCCCAGTCAGGCTTCCCCGGGGGCTCCCGCTGCGGCGTGTGCATGCAGCTCCTTCAGTTCCACTTTGGAGGCGATGGCTGGCTCTGCACCTCGTACCTCAGCATCTGTCTGTTTCTGCTCAGCCAGGTCCTGTTCGAAGAGAAAGTACCATGTTTCATTTATTTTTATACCCCCAGCACCTTAAAGGAGTTGGTGTAAAGCTCAGCTGTTGACCGTGCATGTGAATGAATTGACACGTAACTCTAGAAGACCTGTCGGTATTGCACAAAATGAATACTTGCTGGGAACGCCTGCTAGAGGTGGGAAGCTCACGGTGCAGCGCATTCTGTCGTTGCGTCATGTCAGCTTTCCTAACAAACGAAAGTGGAATTCCACTGGCATGCACACCGAGAGCTGATGCCACGTTGTACATTTTTTAATTAACTAATACTTTTTATTATGAAAGCAACAGATGTTCACTGCAAAAAAAATATCTGTAGAAAAGCCAAAATAACTATCCACAGTTTGGCCATTTCTGCGGTCTGAAGACCAACATTTGGGAATAAGGGAATATTCTCTAGGGAACCTGTACATTTTCTTGGTCCATGAAGGGTTAAGGAAATCCATTTATTTACAAATGAGGAAAGGAGTTCAAATGTTTAACGTTTTAACCAAATCCCAAATACAAATGTCCACACGTGTAGACTAGATGAATCAGACGGTATCTTGCTTTGTAAAAACTGCTTTGTAGGTGGTTTAAATTCATGACGAGTGTCGTGCTAAGCCTGTGAAGTGAACCTGTGCACACCCTCGTACCGTGTTTCAAAGGACTTCAGAGATGTTCCAAGAGACGGGCTCGCGTTTTACAAAGAACCCTGCTCATTTGTGTCTGTGCCAGGGCAAGGCGGCCTTGTGCCCTGCAGCCCTGTCAGAGCAGTGGTGGGGGACCAGTCGTCACGTGGAGACGTAGGGCCTTCCCATTTCCCTGCGAGGGACTGTCTGTTTCCTCTCAGACTCATCTGAACGTAGTTAGATGCTTTGAACCCGTTCCACATTCTTCTAGAATTGTTTAAACATTGGCCACGGGCCCTTGGAGCCTGAAGATACTGGAATGTGCCCCAGTGACCCCCGTGACAACAGACGGTCTTCAGCCCCTGAGTGAAAGCTGGCGGGAAGTAAAGCTCCATTGGTTGAAGTGATCTTAATGATCGGAAATGAAAACTTGTTTGTTTTTGCATCAGGTATTGAGCATTAGGTATTTGTCAGCTGTCAGAATAGATGTGCAGAATGGTGGCTTCGGCACGTGCCTCTGGACCAGGCTCTGAGCTCATGCCTGTGTTTTTGTGCCATTAATCTCAACGCAGGCAGGCGTGATCTTCCCCACTCCTGAGGCTCGTGTCCACCACAGTCATGCCTGTGTAAGCTTGTGTTTCACCAAACAGATTTCTCTTCAGGCATTTAAAAGAAGGTATTTTGTTTAAATAAACACCAAAGCTTGTGAGTGTTCATGCTAAAAGAGCCGTGACATGGTTTACACGTACCCTCCAGCACCCTCCAGTCCCCTCGGGTGGGTGCTTAGCTCCCACAGAGCTGACGGGACCCCGCGTTGTGACGAGCAGGAACCAAAGCAGAAAGTCTTGTTCATCGTGTTTGTATAGATTGTCCGCACAGACAGCCTGGGGGCAGCAGGGCTTGCTGCGCGTTGGCGAAAGCAGGTGGGAGGAAGTGGCCCAAGATGCAAACAGAACCTCCTGGTGCTGGGGAGAAAAGGAACACACTCTTGAGTGTGACACGCTGGGCTGCCTCCCAGGCTGCGCCCCCTCCGCGTTGGCGGGAACAGTCACCACCCCTAATTTGCACGTTTCTCGTTAGAGTAACTCCTGGTGGGCGTGGCATCGGCCTCCTGATGGCTGCGTTTGCCGAGGAGTGAATGGAGCGGCAGCTGCCTTTCTGCTGCTTCGGTGGTGAACCGAGTCACAAACGATGGCTCGTTGAATTTGTGTAATTCTTAAACTAAAACACAGTCAATTCTTCAACTAAAACACAGTCAGTCCTTGGGCGAGTGGAAGGTCAGCCAGCACGTCTTTGTCACTTTCAGCAACACTGACTGGCTCAGTCTCGCTGCCGGCGAAGGAGGCCTAGACGGGGAAAGGCGACCGGTCGGCGGTTGGCGGCGGTCGTCAGCGGTCCCCTTGGCCTCACCAGGGACGCGGGGTCTGCACTTTCCAAAGGGGCCTGGAGGATGCGCCCCGCGACGGCGTGCGGACCTTTCCTTTGTGAGCCTGAGCGGGCGGGGGGGCTCCCTGTACGAGGACTGCAGGAGGCGCTGGAGTGACACGGAACCGGGGGGCCTCGTCACTGGCTTTTCTGGTCGGTGGTGCCATCTTTTTCTAATAATAAGTGGAATTAAGACTTAGGATGTGAACTTGCCTAAAGGGGGACCCCTGAAATACCTCAGTACCCTGCGTTTCTCACGCGCGCTCAGTGCTCCGAGGGGCGGAGCGGCGCTCCTCCCAGGACCGGGCCTCGCCGCGTCCTTGTCCCGCTCGCTCGGACCCCTGCGTAGAGGCTCGGGCGTGCAGTGTCCTGATGACTTACACCTCGGTATAAACGACAGTGTAGCTTGTTCCTGTGGTTGCTGCTGGGCCCTCCCATGGAGTTTATGGCAGGGAGACTGGCAGACAACACACAATTTGAAGATGATGAATTAAATTTCATTTTGCTTCAAGCTCCATAGGAACGTTGAAAACAGAATGCCGTCTTCTGCTCTCATTTTCACATGTGGACTTTTGTTGCCTTCCAGGGACTCAAGGAGTGGCCCCTGGCCCTGTCATCGGGTTGCAGGCACCATCTACTGGGCTCCTCGGGGCCCGGCCCGGCATGATCCCGCTGCAGCGCCCTCCGGGCATGCCCCCGCCTCACCTGCAGCGCTTCCCTCTGATGCCGCCCCGGCCCGTGCCGCCGCACATGATGCACCGGGGCCCGCCGCCCGGCCCGGGGGGCTTCGGGATGCCCCCGCCCCACGGAATGAAGGGCGCCTTCCCGCCGCATGGCCCCTTTGTTAGGCCTGGTGGAATGCCAGGGCTGGGGGGCCCAGGACCAGGCCCGGGGGGCCCTGAAGACAGGGACGGGAGGCAGCAGCAGCAGCCACAGCCGCAGCAGCCGCCGCCGCAGCCGCAGCCGCAGCAGCCGCCTCCGACGCAGCAGCCGCCGCCGACGCAGCAGGCGCAGCCACAGCCGTTTAGAAATGAAAACAGGCAGCAGTTCAATTCAGGTAGAGACCAAGAAAGGTTCGGACGAAGATCTTTCGGAAATAGGGTGGAGAATGACCGGGACCGGTATGGGAACCGGAATGACGAGAGAGAGAATAGTAGCCGCGAAAGGCGAGAGTGGGGAAGGAGGAGCCCTGACCGGGACAGACACAGAGACTTGGAAGACAGAAGCAGACGGTCCGGCGGGCACCGAGACAGAGAGAGAGATTCTAGGGATAGAGAGTCTCGCAGAGAGAAGGAAGACAACCGAGGCAAGGAAAAGCCTGAGGTGACAGACAGGGCCGCCGACCCTCCCCTTAGCCAAGTGGGCACCGCAGACACAGTCTCAGAACTCGCCAAGGGGGAGGCCGCGGCCATAGCCGCGGCCGCAAAACCTGCTGCAGAGCTGCCCGCCGAGGCTACCTCATCCGCCGGCCCCGAGAAGGAGTCGGGCTCGGCAGTGGAGGCTCGCTAGTAGAGACTGGGACTGTCGGGGGCAGGACACGGGGCGCGTGGGGAGCCTGAGGTGTACAGACGCTGTATCATATTTGCCCCTGCTCTTTCTGCCCTGCGGTAGTTGTGGGGCCTCGTAAGCAATTTGATTGCTTCCCTTCTATTTAAAAATAGCCACAAAATAACAAAAAATACTGAAGATATGAATAAATATTACCCTTTTTGCTGTAACTTTTTAAAAGTTTTGACTTTAAAAAGTTTACAAATCGTAATTAGAAGTGCTCTCTATTTTTTTTTTTTTTAATTTAAGACATGGTAACAGTGAAAGCTCCTCAAACAATAGGGATGTTTTTAATAAACTCTATTTTCGTAACAAACTTCAACGTGTGCTATTCTTCATGCCCTTCCTTAAGGTGGAAAAGGGTTGCCCGCCATCCAAGCCCGAGCTGTTAATGCTGTATCGGAGTCTCAGTGACTCACTGGATGGAAAGAGACATGCTCGTGTAGTTTGCAGACACTTCGATTTGTAATACTTTTGATTTTTAGTGTTTTAATCATAAGGTAAAAGTTAGTGGTTTTAATATTTTGCAGTTTAATCAAAGTGATTTTTTGTTTTTGGGGGGTTTTTTTGCCATTGGCTTTGTGGTAAATGTTGCCCTAATTAATTTGTGAAGAGAAACTTTGCTGGGAGGAAAAATGGATCCATCATTACCTATTGTACTGTGAACTGTTTGATTGCCAGAGTGTTACTTATTTAGAAGGCTGGGCGTTTTTACCATCCCATTATGTTTTTCAGAAGGGTGGGAGAAGCCCAGGTTAGCATTTGCTCCCTGAGAGCTTCCTGTCTTATTTCTGTCTTTCTTTCCGCGTGTAAGGATGTGAGTGCAGACTGTTTCCTGTAAGCCTTGCCTGTCGCGCTTCTTGACTGGTTTTGTGAACTCCCCTGCTGGGCAGCGGGAGCCGGGACTTCTCACCACCTACAAAGTACTTTCTCTCTCTGCTTAAAATTGTGGAGCTAAGTAGGGAAAATAGTTGCAGGATACCCAGGAACTGAGAGACGAAGACTTCCGAAGCCAGAGCAGACCCACCGCCGAAGCTCCCACGGCAGTCGCTCACGGTGCACGCCCCGGCCTGAGGAGACCTGCTGCCGCACTGCCTGGTGGTCCTGTTGGAGCTCTGTCCTCGTCAGCGTTCGCTGCCCTCGAGTCAGCGTGCTCGGCAGCGAACGCCTCTGTCCTCACCCGCAGGCAGAGCTGCTGCAGAGGCCTTGTGGCCTCTGCGGACTCTGGCAAGGCGCCCGCTCGGATGCGGGGAAGGCGCCCTGGGCGTGTTCTTGCTCCCGATGGCAGGGCTGGAGAGGACGGGGCTAGAGAGAGCCGTTGCCTGTGCCGGCCCCCCGAGAAGTTTCCGAGTCCCAGCAAGCTGCTTTTGGAAACATCCGCCGACTTAGCATTCAGTGTCAAGGACCTGCAGCCTCTGTTCGCCATTGTGAGTGTCGAGACCACCCTATTCATCCCCACATGACAAAGCCCCCAAAAATACTACAAGCACTTTCACAAGGGTAGGCGTGCCCTGGGCCTTAAAAGGTCACAAGGGAGCCCGTGTTTGAGTTTTACCTGACACCAGTAAAACTAGTCGGTGAAACCTTGTTCAGTGCTGTTTTTACATTCTTCACCTGACGGGTTTTTACCACTGAACGTGTGCCTACCTTCATTTTGAAAATACTACCAATTGTCACTTTCTAAATTAGCTTTTACATACATGTAAATATTTACTACATGTATGATGTAGTAAAGTACATCATATATTTATGATCAGAATTACAGCTCATTTCCAGTTAGTAGATGACCAACCTGTAGTCGAACCTTGAGTTAACACCTCACGAGTGTTTCCTTGCAAGCACACGCGTGCTTCCTGGAAGAGACAGACTCGACTCGCTGCCAGCCAGCCAGCGCCTCTGCCATCTCACAGCCCTGGGACGTTTCTTCAAAGCGCTTGTCTGCAAGCAGGCCATGCCAGCCTCTCCTTTTCTGACAAAGTTCCGAGTGCGGTGTGGGCCACCTTGGCCAATAGGTGAGCTCATCCCATTAGCCCTCCAAGGCCACCGTTGAGCTAGTTCCAGTGTTAACCAGAGGGTGCTCAACCGGTAGCATCAGATTTTGAGATAAGCATACCTTCTGAATCGAATGCCAAGTGGTAAGTGGGGAAACCCCTCAGTTTCCCGAAAGCTTACAAAGAACAGCCTGTTTAAGATTGATGTTCAAGTCCGTGCTAGCTCAAAGGCCAGCTGTGAAAAATGTAAACGTTGTGATTATTTTAAGTATTTTCAAAAGGGCACTCTCTAATACCTGCCATCATATTATTTGATCTGTTCCATTCAAGTGCTATGGATGAGTACCAGCTAACTTAGAATTTCAATTAGGATGCTTTGATAGGATCACAAATAGAGCACCATATTGGGTATTGGGTTTATTGTAGATTTGAATGAGAACTAAAGAAATTTAGACAATTTCGTTTAATACCTATGTGTGTTTAAGATCATTGAAACACGTTTTAATTGAATGAGATTTACACAATTACATGAATCTTCCAAGTGATCATAAATCAGCTGTCACTGCAGGCACTTTAAAGCAATTTGTAAAGAAAGACACACATGATACTGAAGGTTACGGGGTTTAATGTTTCTCGGGTTAAGCGTCTGCAGCTCATGGGACGGCGTCTGCAGCTCATGGGATGGCGGGGAGCCGCCGGGGCGCGGGCTGGGTCTAGGGAGTGTTCGGCGAGGCAATCCCGATCACCCCGCAGGCCAGGCGGCTGCCGGCGTTGCCCGTCTTCTTGCTCTCGTCGTTTCCGCCTCTGCCCAGGTCGTCTCGCTTCTCGTGGACCTTGAGGGAGCAGTGAGGACACAGAGCTGAGGACTGGCGGGTAGTTCCACCTCATCCCCACAATGTCCAAAGGCTCTAAAAAAACCACTTAATGTGAGAGAACAGCACGCAAAAATGAGGCTAGGAGAAAAGTAGACTAACATTTAATCTAGTAAGAAAAAGGAGAAACTACTACTGAGCTTCTTCTTGCTGATGCAAAGATGCAAATTATCTTTAATCACTAGGTGGATGTTCTGTCTCTAAACGAAATATCAGAACCCAAACAATCCTGTCGCAGGCCACCACGCGCTGGTCTCGGCCCTCCGCGAGGAAGCTGAGGGCCCCAGCCCAGCGGCCATCCTTTCACAGTGGAAGCTGCCTTGAAGAGAAGGAAACGGAACCCCCTCCAAAGAAATTGTCGCAACGGTGCCTAATGACTGCAGCCTATGAAATGAGTAATCCTTAAATTGAACTACTTAAAAACAGTACTTTAAATTTTTCTCATTAAACACTTACAAATTTTCCTGCTTCTCAATAATGGCTGAAGAAAATTCAGGATCAGGGTCAACTGAAAGAAGTGACCACAGAAGGTCAGCGGTCCTTCTGCCTGGCGTCTGTGGACCAGGCGCAGCCCCGAAGGGCCGCCTAGGGCAGCTGCTGCCCGCGCCTTCAGCCAGGACAGTAACCACACAGGGACGAGCCCTCACGCTGAGGCCGCCCACGGCTCAGTTGGAACAGGCATCCGTCCAACCACAAGGGGCCCCGTCGCGGCGGGGTGCTGGCTGTCTCAAAATCAGGCAGGACTGCGTCTGCTGCCGCGATGGAGAGCGATACGGTCCCATGTCATCTGTGGTGCTGCTGCGTCTTAGCAGGACGGGGCTCTTAACTGCCCTAGAAAACTAATTCATCCTTGCTGCAGTCATCCAATAAAATCGCTGCTTTCTCTAAATCTGGACTCAAGCTGCAATTTATGTGGCTCCTTAGAAACCAGGATCGAGTATCACGGAAACACAGGACTGCGCCAAGAGAAACGCGACGCACGTCCTTGGCAGCGGAACACTCACCACCATCGTGCGGCCAATGATGGAATGGGCTCCAGAGAGGGAGATCTGAGAGTCTTCAAGGGACACCGTGGCCACGCCGTCCTCCTCCGCAGTCACGTTGCCCAGGTCTCCAACATGCCTAATGGTGGAAAAGCACCGGAACAGGCCATGAACTAAACTGTAAGCTGAGTCAGACACACCATGGGCTGGGGCGTGGACACAGCACAGATCAAGCAGGAGCCACCTTTCCAGATGCAGCTCTTTAAACACGGCTCCTGGGCTGCGAGCAGCCCCCGAGGAGAGAACAGGGCTGGTGGGGACCCTGGGGACTTGGGGGGGGGGGGCCACAGGAGGGTATGACACCTGCGCCGGGGCCCTGCCTGCTTGCGCCTGGTGCGGCTGAGAAGCCAGGCCCCAGGCCTCTGTGAGAAAAATGAAGGAAGCCTTGTCCTTAGGCTTGTTACTGTCCTAAGAGGCTCCCAGAAAACTAACATGCAAATAGAGTGTGGTGCGTTCTCCGTGTCAGGCTTTTGCCCACAAAGCCGCTGTGCTTCCCATGCTGGTTTATTTTGTCGGTGACTGACGGCATGTAACTCAGTTCCTGTGCGGGTCCCTTTGGCGCTTGTATGGATGAGTTCTGTATTCAATAAATGCTGCAAAACCAAGTCGCTTCCAGTGTCCCTGTTTGTCAGTCCCTCGGCCCTGGCAGAGGGTCACCCGGGAGACAGCTCCTAGTTTGACGTGCTATCTGCGAACCATACCCCACAGTGACCCCAAAAAGCCACTGATAAGCATTCCCAGTGACAGTTAGGCATCTCGTCACTCACCTCTCTACATCTTGTGGTCCACCGTGGGTTTTGTGCAGAGGATTGAAGTGAGGGCCTGCACTGGTACAGCCTATTGACCAAAAAAAAAAAAAAAAAGGTAGCTACATTATGAATCAAAATTCCAAAATAAACTAAGAAGAAACTGGCCACGGCTAAAACCTCCATCAGAGAATGCTGACCTACAGCACGGAATGGGCAGGGAGGAGGGACCAGGTCTAAGTGCCCTGTGACGCTGGTCAAGTTCACAGCCTTCTCTGGGCTTGGATTTCTCTGCCACTCAGTCAGGTAAAAGGCCCAGGACTTGACCTTCAACAGCTTTCTTCTACTCTTAAAATCCCACGGTAACGTTCCTGGTTCGTGTGAAAGTACGAACCCTTAGCTACGAAAACTCAGCCCCAGCCACACAGTGCAGGCGGGCCCCCGCCGGTATGTGTGCAGAACCTTGAACGGCAGGGGGCCCGGGGCCCAGGGCCGGGCTGCTGGCCCGCAGGGACCGCCGTTCACCCAGAGCCAACCACGAGGACGTGCCCGCAGCTGCGGGTGGAAAGTCTCCAGGGTATACCGCTCCCCCGCGCCCCCCACTGGGAGAAGACAGGTCAAAGGACACTGCCCAGTAAATCAAAGCCACAGAGCAGTGGCCTCTCAGAGCGGAGGCAGGAAAACCAAGGAGCAGCTGGAGCAGCTTTGTGATGGCTGAAATGGATCAAACCTGGTCATAACATCACTATTTGTAGGAATCAAATTATGGGACATTAAAAACAAGTTCAAAATGAGTCAATTCTCATAGTTACATGTTAAGGTCAGATAACTCAAAAATGGCAAAAGATCACTAAGTCTATTTTTCCACCCATAAACTTTGCTCACTTGCTTCTCACCCCAAAGCGAGAAAAGGGAATTCCGTGCAAAGCGGCGGGCTTGCATCCTGTCTCGCTCCTGCCTCGGCAGGACCCTGTGCTGGGGGCGTGGGCCTCTCTGTGCAGGGCCGTGCCCACAAAGGCCTTGAGAGCGCGCGGGTGGCAAGAAAGGAGCTGAACTGTTTTTCTTAGAAAAACACTTGGGACTTACATAATCAAGCCAGAATCACAATTTAAAAATTTAAAAAAAATCCTCTGGCCTGCTTCCTTCCCACACTCAGGAATCACAAACTAGCCTTGGGGCTAACGCCCCGCGGCTGACTTCGGCATCACAGCGAGGCAGTTAAGGCGGCTGCTCGGTCCTGCTACCTCACGGGGGTACATGGGTTGGGTCCCCAGCCCTGCATGGCACCAACCTTGCGTGTTGTCTCCAAACTCATGGACGTGAAATCCATGCTCGCCTTTGGTCAGTCCTTTGATGGACCCCGAGACCTTGACTGGACCATTGCCCTTTGTCGAGAGAAGAAGACAACAGGTTTGAGAACGTGTCCCAAATGGAAGAGACAGGTGAGTTGCCTCTACCGCTCAGGAAAGCACAAAGCATGTGGACTTGGGAGTCAGACCACCCAGCAGAGGCCTCCTGGCTGGGACCGCCCACCTGCGGGAGACGTGGAGCCAGCTGGTTGGCCTCGGCCCCTCCTCCCCGGTCTCCTGGGGGATGTTTAACACAGGCACATGGGACTCCGTATCTTTCGGGACATTAGGATCCCGGCAGAGGTAGTTTTGGTTTATCGCCAGAACATAGGCTCTCCCACGAGGGGGCAGGACGGGACTGAGTCTGGAGTAACCTTAGGCGCTGTGTTCTCAAGTCTCGGGCACTGAAACTCAATCACCTTTCTGTTTCAAGTACTGAGACCAAAACAAAGGACGGTAACACCAATGCTGGTGAAAGCGACCCAGAAGTCCTGCCACCTGGGCGGCGGTGAGGGGCAGCAGCAGGGCAGGGCCCCACGCCCAAGCCTAGGACCTTGCTGTGGCCCCGCGCACACCACGCGGTAACACACGGGGCCGTGCCTTCGTCCTCAGCACTGGGCACCCACAGCCCACCAGGGCTCAGCCCTCAGGGGCTGACCCTCCACTGGACAAATACAAGGCTCCGATCAAGGAGCTCAGTAACCGGCCGTGTGTGCGTTTTTTTTTTAATTAATAGAGTACTGTGATTCTTGTGGAGACAGCCTTTAAATTTGGAAAAACTCGTATGTGTCATCACACAAAACATGTTGTTATAAAAAAGCACAGCAAAGAGCTGGCCCTCCCCAGCCTGCATTCCCGGGTGACGATGGGGGGAGCGGGGGGGGGCTGTCCTGTTAGATGAGTAAACCCGTGGCCCGGGGCTGCGGAGGTCAGGAGGGGCAGATCTCCGAATGCTTCAAGAGAAGCTAGGAATTTGGACTTCCAGGTGAAAACTTTTATTTTAAAAAACTGGAAGATAATCCAAAATTCTAAGCACGCAAGAGACCCACCCAGCACGGCTTACTGGCATGGAGCGAGCACCGACCCGTGGTGCCGCCCTGTCCGAAGGTTCTGTCAGGACCACTTAGCACCGCCCCCCCTCCCCCCACAACGCGCGGAGCTGGGAACAGAGGGAGGGCGCAGGAGGGCGGGGCGCTGCTGCCGGGTCCGCAGCCGCTGGCGAGGGGGACCCGAGGAGGTCTGGCCAGTGAAAACGGCAAAGTTCAGTCAAATGCCAACGAGCCTTTTCCAGAAGCTTTGGAAACCACCGCAATTAAAGACCTCCTGTGCCCCGAGTGCCCCTGTATAACTTCACGGACGGGCCCCTGCCCCAGCACATTCCCCTGGTTTCTCCCATTTCTGGACACCTCTCCCAAGACTCGGTCGCATCCCGCGTTAATGACTCGCTCGGGAGTAAGAAGCCCCGAACAACTCCGCCCGCCGGCGGCCCCACCGACGGTGAGCGTGTCCACGCACTTCGCGTTACAAGCTCGGGTCGAGTTTGTTTTCCGCCGTCTCAATAACGGGCCTGCCGGTTGCGCGACTGAACAGCCAGTTTCCGGGGGCTGGGCTGAAACACGCTGCCAGCTCCGCGCGTGGACACCGGGGTGCCCCTAGGCCGCTGCGACGCGGACACAGGCCCGACGCCGCCAGTCTCCAGCCGGGCCGCGCTGACCGGGCCCGGGGAGGAGGCCCGCGGGGAGGAGCTTGTGCGGAGCGACCCTCGTACCCGGCCATGACCGGGGCAGGCGTCAGCGAGCGGTGAGGTCACGCGCACTGTCACATGTTCTTTTCACGACCCGTCTTTCCACACAAACCCACCAAAGCGCCCCCGGCCCCAGGGCTGTGCCCACAGCGGTTCCAGGCGGATGGGGTCGGGGAGCGCGGTCTGCAGACCCCCCGACCGAGACAGACGGCACAGGTCGCAAAGGAGCCCCAGGCGGGCCACGGGGCCACGGCTCCCTGCGGCCGTACCCGGTACGCAAACGCCAGGCCCGGCGCCGCAGGACGCCGAGGCGGCCATCCAAGGAGCGTCCCCGCCCGGCTCCGCCGCCGAGGCCCAGGAGTCCGCCCCCTTCCTCCCGCCCTCGCTCGCTCCCGGGCCCGCGGGCCCGCCCAGGCCCAGCCCGCGCCGCCGGCCACGCTCGCCCGTGACTCAGCACCGCAGCCGCGCGGGCTACCGCCCGCCCCCGTCCTTGCCTCCTGCGTGAAGTGGATGGTGCCGTGCACCGGGCCTTCGCCCTTCAGCACGCACACGGCTTTGGTCGTCATGGCTCCCGGGGCTCGCGCAGCTCCTGCTCCGAAGGCCAGGCAGACGCTGCAGGACACGCCGACGCACGAGCGTCGGTGCCGCGGACCCTTATAGGCCGGACCCGCGCTCCGCCCCCTTTGGCCTGGGACCAATCGCCCCCTGGCCCGGGACCAATCGCGCGCTGGGCTCGCCCTCCGCATAGTGGCCTAGGAACGCAATTGGCCGAGGAGGCGGGGACGGGACCTAGGGTGCGTGGAGTCCCGCCCCCCGCGCCGGCGACCACCCAGGCGTATCCGGGGAGCTGGAGGGGGGTTGGGGGACGGGGGGGTGGGGACGGGGCGGTTTGGGGAACGGGGGTGATTGGGGGACGGGGGGGCGGGGGAGCGCGGGCGGGTCGGAGCCAGCTTCCCTCGCAGCTGGTGCAGCCCGCGGGTGGCGGCACCGAGACTGGCGCGCCTGCGAGGTCTGAAGTCACTCGGGCTGGAAATGCCCTGCGTTGTAACTGAGTTGAGTCCTAAACTTATTTTTTAGAAATGGGGACGCATGGAGCTGGGTGATGTTGTCGTTCCTGTATTTTCCTTGTCTTGTTTCGCGGTTTCTGAGAGTGTGAAGGCCGCACACCCCTGTCCCTGGCCTCGTCTCGCAGGGTCCAGCCCTGAGCGCGGGGAGCCACTGTTTGGGTGCCAGGACCCTGTCCTCTTTCCACATTTTCCCTCTCGGGCTTGGAAGGCCACAACCGTAAACATGCCAAACCTGACAAGTCGGCGGACTGACCTCTGCCCGGGGCCCTGTCTCCTCCAACTCCAAGGCAGGACAGGGCTGGACGCCACTTGGTTCATGTCACCCCTGAGGAACCGAGGGAAGAAATAATAAAACGGGGCCACCCTAGCCAAGCGGCGCACTTGCTCACACCAACGAGGGCGAGGCTCACGGAATGGATTCCACTGGCCTTTTAACCCGGCTGGGAACTTAAACAGCGCCGCTCGCTGCTGCGGGAGTGCACGCCGGCCCCCCGGGAGCGCGAGCCACGCTGCTCGGTGGCCAGACCAGCGGTCCTCTGGAGCAGCGATCACCAACCTTCTCCATCTCGCCACACGTGTGAGCTCAATACTAAAACTCTGCAGGACACCAGAAAAATGGGGTTTTTGCCAGTCTGACAAAAAATAGGTCTTCTTTAAATTTTTATTAATTGACTTGAGAGAGAAAGAGAGAAGCACCGAGTTGTTGTTGTTGTTCCACTTATCCATGCATTCCTTGGTTGCTTCTCCCATGTGCCCTGACCAGGGACCGAACTTGCAACCCGGGCCTATTGCGACGATGCTCCAACCAACTGAACTACCTGGCCAGGGCAGGAGAGGGTGTAATTTTGATTCATTCACACCGGACGGGTATTGTTGGGTTTTGGCTGTAGTCATTTTTTTTAATTGACCATCTAAGGGAAAAGAGGTCACTGCCCCTGACTAGATAGTCCAGGACTGCATGCTTTAAAAATTCTTGGGGCACGGCATCTCCAACAAGTCCAGGAGCTAAGAATGCCAGACTGAGTCTCAGGCCATACTCTTTCCTGTAAGAATCCGCCGCTTTCCTATCTTCTTGAGAGCACTCTGGGTATTGCCAAGTTGTGTTTTCTGTTTGCAAACCCTAACCCTACCCCGCCCCCAAATCTTTATCATATATTTCTAGCCAAAGCCTCCTAATTTCACTTCCACTCAGTTGACACCCCCTTACGCTATCAGATGGGGACGGGGCCTGCCGAGCGTAGGGGCCCTTGACTTCTCAGGAAAGGTTTTACTCCACTAGTCCAGGTGATTTTGAGGGTAAGTTTATGGAAACGGAACAGTGCAGCCCAGGGAGGGCGAAGGGGGTGAAGCAACAAGGAGAGAGGAGCAACGGGGCCTTGGAGGCGGGGACCTGGGCGAGCCCGGGGCGGGGCCGGGAGAGTTTGGGAGAAGGAGCTGCAAGGCGTGGCTATGTGCTGGGGAGAGAGCGCCCGCGTGGGCCCTCTGTCCGGAGGCTTCCTGGCTTCCTTTGGCCGACAGCTGGGGTCCTGGGGGAGGTCTCGTGGGCCGGTCCGAAGAGAATGTTCATTAGCTTTTCAGGTAGGCCCTTCACTATCTCGGTGCATCAAAACGTGTGTTTAGAAGGATCAGGGTTATTTTTGCGGTTAGTTTTATTTTTGAAGGATTTTATTGAACAATCGGGACCAAAGCCGATCTGCCCCGGGCCAGGAACGCGTAACCCGTCTGCTGCTCAGTGTCCTTGGTCAGGGAAGAGAAAACCTTGTGATTCATTAGCTGGCTGTGAATTGCTCACATTGTTTGGCCTTCTTTAATTATTTTGTCTTAGTTTCTCTTCTTCCACTTGTCAGGGACTCTCCGTAGCTTCTCACTCTCCCCCCTCACACACACACCAGGATATGCTTCTCCTTCAGGGAAGACATTCCACAGACACATTATGAAATGAGCAAACACCACAAACTACTCTTGTGGGTTTTTCAAAAACATAAACATATATTGTGTGCTCACAAATCTATAGAAAGAGCCCTGGCTGGTGTGGCTCAGTGGATTGAGTGCCAGCCTGTGAACAGAGGTGCTGCCGATTCAGTTCCCAGGCAGGGCACAGGCCTGGGCTGCCGGCCAGACCCCCCAGTAGGGGGCGCGCGAGAGGCAGCCGCACATCCACGTTCCCCTCCCTCTCTTTCTCCTTCCCTTCCCCTCTTTCTAAAAATAAATAAATAAAATTTTTTTTTTAAGGAAATCTCTAGAAAGATGTAGAGGGGATGTGGGTACCTTTGGGGAGCGGGAATGAAGCTGTAAGCAAGGTGCTTCCCTTAGAATTTTTTTCACAGTGATATGCATTTGTCTTCAAAATAGGGCTTAGAATGAGAATCGCCCCCTCCACAGGCACTTTTGTTGGAAGAATAGTTTGATAAACCCTGGAGGGTGGTACAGGGGCCAGAATCTTTGCCTTCCGTCCCCGCCAGCAGCGCCCGACAAGGAGGGCGGCTGGCCGGCTGCGGCGCCCAGGCCGCTGCGCTGGACCCACGTGGGGGGGCCCCGGCTGCCGGCACTGTGCTCCTGGCTCGTGGGTCCGGGTGGGAGCCCAGAACTGGCGTTCCTCACCGGTTCCCGGGCAGCCCCGATGCTGCCAGATGGGGCCTCGCCTGGGGATCCTCTGACTGGCAGGCGTTTCTCACGCCCAGTGACACGGGAAGGTCAGGACTGCAGCCACTTGACTCAGGAGACGAAAAGGGGACCCGTGCAGACGAGGAGGCACGCTGGGCCAGGCCGGCTCTGTGTGCGCCCGGTGCCCGCGCTGGGCGGCGTTCCGGCCCACCCCCTCCAGGAGACCATTCAGCCCGGCCAGGCCTGACGCGGTGGCCAGGGCCGAGTGAGGAGGCTGGCAAAACGCTGAGGCCTGATTCAAGGCCAGAGGGAGACAAGGCCAGAGCTGTGTGTGCCAGCCAGGTCCGGGCTACAGCGTGCGCGCGCGCGCGTGTGCGGTTAGACACCGGGACTCCGAGGCGTTCTCCAACAGAGAGACACAGCCCCCACTTCTGTCACCTCCAGAAAAGGCGCCTGCGTGGGGCGCCTGCTCCCCGGCGTCCCCGGCCTGGCACAGGCTGGGCAGGTGCGTGAGCGCGCCAGTGCCGGCTTGGCCCAGGCCTTTGCCCGAGGCCAAAGTCTCTTTGGGTTTCGGGAAGCCAGGGTCAGATTTCAGCTCAGTGTGCCAGCTTGCCAAGGAAGCAGCCCACAGACAGAGCAGGCCTGAGCCCAGCCGGGTGGCGCAGGGGGTTGGAGCGTCGTCCGTCCATCAAAGGTCACGGTTCTGTCCCGGCCAGAGCACTACCTACGGGAGGCAGCTGACTGAAGTTTCTCTTTCTCTCCCGCCCGCCCCGTTCTCTCTAACAATCAACAAATACACCCTCAGGTGAGGATTAAAAACAGGGAGTGGCCTGGAGAGCGGCCAGAGGTCCCGCAGGGTCAGGAGGCAGGAGGTTTGCTCCGGGGCCGCCCTCACGCCTGGGCAGGAGCCCTCGCCCTGGCCCGGCCCGTGGAGGGCCTGCCCTGACCTCCCTCACGCCACCTTCCCCGTCGCAGGGAGAGCCTGTGGGCCCAGGGCGCTGCTTCCACGCAGACCCTGCCCTGACTGACGTCTTCTTTGAGTCCAACGTGCGGAATAAGGCGCCACACTGCCGCTCTCAGAACTATTTTCTCAGTCTGTTGAGATTTTGCCTCTGGGCATGTCCTCGCCACTTGGCTCAAGTAATCTCTTACAAGACTTTGTCTCTTGTGGACGGAATTTCTTCCTCTTATTGACCCTGCGTCCTACCATTTTGCCCACCTCCTACCCACTACCTCTGGCGCCCACCGATTTGTTCCCGATTTTCGGATTCCACGTGTCAGTGAGCCCACGCAGGGCTGTCCTCGCCGGGCTTGTTTCCCTTGGCGCAGGGCCCCAGGTCCGTCCCTGTTGTCGCAACTGGCAGGACTCCCTTGTTTTTCATGGCGGAGCCACATTCCGTGGGTGTATGTTCCATATCCCGCATTTTCTCTATCCGTCCGTCCGTTGGCTGGAGCTCCTTCCGTGCCTTGTAAGTAACGCTGCTACGGCCCCAGCTGGTGGGCTCAGGGGGCGGAGCACCGGCCTGCAAACCAAAGGGTCGCTGGTTTGAGTCCCAGTCGGGGCGCACGCGTGGGTGGCAGGCCAGGCCCCCCATAGAGGGCACGCGAGAGGCAACCGCACATGAATGCTGCTCTCCCCTCTCTCTCTGCCGCCTGTCCCCTCTCAAAAAATAAATAAATAAAATCTTTTTAAAAAAGAAGTTGTTAAAAAAAAATAATACTGCCGCTGTGAACATGGGAGTACATATATCTTTTCAAGTTATTTCTTGCTATTTCTTTTCATTGGCTAGGTCATGTGGTAGTTCTATGTTTAATTTTCAGAAAAAGTCAAATTAAAACCTCCGGGATGTAGGTATGGGCCTCGCACAGGCCTGTGTCCCCCTGAGGCAGGCGCCCCAGCCTGGAGCCCCGGGCACCCTGGGCCACGGAGGCTGCAGTGGGGGCTGTCCTGCGCTTGCAGGACATCGGGCAGCACCCTGGCCTCCGCCC